ACCTTTGGGACAACCTAGGTCAGTGATGGCGAACCTCTGGCACGTGTGCCAGAGGTGGCACACAGAGCCCTCTCTGTGGGCATGTATGTCATAGCCAGCTGTTCTTCCAGTTTCTACCATGCACACGTGTGCCACCCAGCTGATCTTTGCGGGAACTGGACTGCCAGAAAATGGCCCGAAAAACAGCCTGAAAATGACCCCAAAACAGCCAAAAACAGTCATTTTGGGGGTCATTTCCAGGCCACAAACAGCCTGGAAAATGGCCCCCAAAATGGCCAAAAAAACAGGCATTTGCACACCGGCCAGCTGGTCTTCAGTTTTTTGTTGCTCTGGACATGGACATGCATGCATGTTTCGGTTTGGGCACTTGGTACTGAAAAGGTTCGCCATCACTGACCTAGGTGATTGAGAATCTCCATAGGCCAGTATTCCCAGCTTTATTTTTCTACAAGTCTATATATTTTTCTATATTTCTGTAAGTCCTCAAAGGCTCTGAAGATATAAGCCGCATTGTTTTCATGGTGGATAGAGTCATCCTGAGCACTGGTTCAGCTCATTGTATTGTTTGACTGCTCACCATCATATAATGTGACGGCCACATTTTCCAACAATGACTCTTTCTACTCCTTCTATTGTCAGCTGCCATGCTGTTTGAGCCATTAAGTAGCTGTCTTCCCCAAAAATACCCCAGGAAGCTATAAACGAGCAGCCTTAGTCATAAAACCCACCAATTTTGCTTTTCATAATAGACGTCTCTGGCATAAAGGCATATTTAGATCAAACCGCTACACATAATTTCCTGATCAGCGCATGGTACACTTGGAAGATGAGCGCTCAGAAAGGGACCTGGGGAAAATTCCTTCTGAATACTTTTGCGCAGAACCACTGTGGTGTTTAAGAAAAATAATCCTTTTCCATCCATGTTGTCTTTCCTCTCTCCTACTGATATCACGTCTAGCATGTTTTATCAAGTGCTCCATGAGGGGTTTTATAGATATGGTGCCTTCTCATGCTACATTAAAGCTGAGTGGTTAACATTTAGAGAGTTGCCATTCTAAAGAGTCTTATGCTTAAGTATATCAGTTTGTAGATAATGAAATAGGTAGGTAGGTAGGTAGGTAGGTAGATAGATAGATAGATAGATAGATAGATAGATAGATAGATAGATAG